GGAACATATATCTATATGCATCCGAAGAAGTGGGCTGTAGTCCACGAAAGCTTATGCTCTAATAAATTTGTTAGCCTCTAAGGTGCCACAAGTACTCCTGTTCTTTTTGCGGATACAGACTAACATGACTGCTACTCTGAAACCTATATTGTGTGTGAGGATTTGAAAATAGGTGCCATCTTAAAATGCTTTCGGGCACTTATAGTGTGTGTTAAAGTCACAAACAGCAGACTGTTCAGACAGGCTCTTCCTTCCCTGATTTAGTTGGTGATTGGTCCTGCTTTGAGCAGCGGGTTGGACTAGATGACCTCCTGAGGTCCAACCCTGATATTCTATGATTCACAGCACTGCAACATATCTATGAATTCTCTTTAGCCAATTTTTAGTCTAATCAAAAAAATGCAATCTTCTGCTAGTTCTAGTGCTATCACTTTTCACCCCTATGGGGCAGTGGGTATGCATGAATGCAAATCATGTGCTCTTTCCTAAGTCTGCACTCATCCCCTCCCCTCGCTAACCTCCTCCCCCAAACAACCTATATTTCATGCAGTTCGAGGGAAAGAGGTAACAGACTGTGGATGTATTTTAATTTGGTCCTTTTAGCATGTGGGTCACCAGGCTAAAGGGAGTCTCTCTCCTAAGGTATGTGGGTCTAGACATCATTGTGATGGTAGCCAAGTACATATCATCTCAGAATCCACTTGCATAATTCTTCAGGCCTGCAAAGGGGTGATGAAGTGTGGCTGGTGCAGTGGAGTTATCCCAGGTAGTGGGATCCAGTAACTCACTCTTTATGAGACTTGGGACAGGAAGAACCGTAGAAGGAAAAGAGACATCAGAAAAACAGAATGAGGTCTGAATTTTCCTATCCTAAGCAACATGGAACCAGTAGATCAAATGGTGGTTTCTAGAGTCAACACTGCTTGTTGGACTCCAAAGGTTAATTCATCTACTTTAGAGTCTAGAACAAGCAGGGTTTTATTCATGGTCAAAAGTGAAATTACCGAGAGCATCCAACTTCTGTAAATTGCATGCTGCCAGCACCCTGCCCTGGTCTGAGAGTTGGGGATCACAAGCTTGGGAGCTTGTTCTCCTGTAAGCTGTGAGAGGTATGCTGAGAGCAGAGCTTGCTTGAAGACTTGTTAAAACATGCTTTTAGAAAGGGGTTGTGTCTCTTTCAATTCCTTTCTCTGTACAGTCCCCCACAATATGTGCTCAGTGGAACAAAGCAGGTTGGCGATCTCATTGCATCCTGTACAATTAGAGGAGTAACTTCTTCCCAGGGGAACTGTGAGGCTCATTTGTTTAGTAAGGCAATTTAGGATCCCCTGATGGAAGGTGCTAGAGAAGGACTGTGGGTTACAGTTCAGTGCTGAAAAGGGTGTCAGATAAGAACAATTTCCTAGCTTTGTTGTCACAGTAAGATGTGAACAGTCTGATTCACAACCAGGTTCCTGGAAATGAAGATTGCAGCAGTGGCTGTGTTGCTATGTGTACAGCTCAGAGCAAGGCTTGCCAGTGTTTCACATCAATTCCTGACATCAGGCTGATCCTGGCTGCCAGCAGCCAGCTCTCACAATGAAAGGCACCCCGTAAGCTTGAATATAGCAAAGGCAAGGACGGCAGTGGAGAGGGGTGTCTGTAAAAGTGTTGTTTGTAGCAGTACCTAGCATGAATGTCAGTGAGCGCATTCCAAGAGGAGCACGTTCGTGCTGAGGAGTTAACTGCATCTGTGTATCACTAATAGCAAATGGGCAGCATGAGTTCTTGTGGCTGTTTGTGGCCACTGTATCTTTAATGAGCTTGGGCTGCTGTTCCTCGTTATACACCGGAAAGAACTTTTCTTTCCTGAATGGGGAGACTTCTGTTCATTACTGTGACCAATATGGCAGTTTCCTGGGCAAACCTCACTTAAATGAAGTTTAAGTATCTTAGGAGTTGATGGTATAAAAAATGCTAATGTTTATGTACAGTATTATTGTGGGATTATATGCAGCTTCTTTCATGGGGGGGAGAGGATTAATGTAAACCCTGGGAAGTGCTATGAGCTTCAGAGGACTCTTTGGAACCGTGTGCTAAACTAGGGTTACCATAGGTCCGGTTTTTCCTGGACATGTCCGGCTTTTTGGTAATCAAACCCCTTTCCAGGGGGAATTGCCAAAAAGCTGAACATGTCGGGGAAAAATACCGCCGGCCGGGCACTTTCCCTCCCGTGGCTGCTGTGCTCCCTACCTTGACTCTTCTGCTCTGTTTAAAGCCGAGCTGCCCGAGCGCTACAGGCTTCGGGCAGCCCCCATGCCTCCGGACCCTGAGCCGCCAGCCGGGCACTTCCCCTCCCGGGCTCCAGGGGCGCAGGGTCCGGAGGCATGGGGGCTGCCCGAC